ACAAGGGTCACAACTGACTGCATGGTATAGTGATGAAGAACACATTCTTATTGGGTCAGTCTGAGCTCTAATTCCAGCTCACAATTGGTCATTGTGCAATCTTAACTAAATAACATAGTCTTTCTGTATCTACCTTATCTGTAGAACAGAAATGGTAACAAGGCTTGCTATCACATAGTGAGTACTCAATGACACTGCTACCATTTTACTATTATCATTTTTGTGATTTAAGCATTTTCACCACAGCCAAGATAAAAAAATACTTTCCAACAATAAAAGGTTTAAATGTAATTTGAAATTTTTACTCACAATGAAGAGAAATTAATAAAGAAAATTGGGAGCGTGATTTCAAGAAAATATGTTTTTGTGGGAAAAATTACATTTGTTGCCCAGGGAAGAAGTTTAAGCTGTCTCCACAAAATATAACAACTCAGAATAAGAGCTGTTAATTAGAGTTCACTAAATTCTAATGCATTTCATTGAATCTGGACTGATAAACATTACCAACCCATATGTACATCTTCATAAAATAGACATCATATATAATTCAATTTTGTGAAGCAATATTTTAAACCCCCTAGTATGTTTAGTTTATCAAATATGAAACAAATCAGGTAGGGGAGATGTATAACAGATTTGTGGAAATCTATGGATTAGACCAACATGCTTTCACTATATTTAATACTCATCACCAGAGCAAAACATTTGGCTTTAGGTACAAATCTACATTGTATTATCAATAAAATGTTTCAACATTTTACTGAAACTGTGTTAGAAAACAACATTTGGAAAAGTAATATAAATTATAAATGTGTCTGGGCTGAAACAAAGGTAATTATTGGCTTGTAAATTTATAATTTCAAACTGGCCAACAATAACAGTAACACACAAAATCACTAAATTTATTCAATGTGATGTAATTGAATTATTTTTCTGAACACTAAAACAGTCCTAAAACATATGTTGTAGAATAAGGTCTCTGAAATGACCCAATAACTTCCATTCTGTTTCTAATAATTTGAACATATTGAGAAATAAAAGTAATAAATGAAATTTGGAATCCTGAAATATCACCTTGAAAAGAAGCCACATGAGAATATTGCATTTCATTCTGTGAAGCAAGTAGGCTTCTTGATGAAGAACCCTGGAATCAACTGTGAATACACTGACAGGTCCTGGCAGAGCCTTCTCCACTTGAAGACCAAGTGTTCTTGAAAGGAAATGGGTGGAGTAATATTCATCAAGACATTTTATTTTCACTAAATCTTATCCATGAAGTAATTTTCTATTGTTCTCACTGGGTACACTAAGTAAAACAGAGACACTAAATGTTTTATCACAGTGAGTTCTGGCTACAGGAAGGTAAGGATCAAACATTTTCTAAAAAGGTTAGATAGTATCTAAATTTTAAAAATAAGGAAATTATGCCTTGAAGATTAATATTTTAATATTTTATTTGGGTCACACAATAAATGGAAAGAGTAAGATTAAAAATAGTTTTCTTCCTGAACCAAATAAAGGTACTGCTCAATACTATGCTAAATACTACCCCTAAGAGACACAATTTTAAAAATGCAGCTTCTTAGTGATATAATTTGCTAGATATTGTGAGTACTATTAAATCTGTCAAATACCATTCATTGCTAAGAAACTTGCAGCCATGTAAGAGTTGAAATAGGACACATTGACTTTCTGTAGCTATGAATTTGCAAACAAGATAATTCATAGTTTCTCCATACATTTTTAGATTTATACCTCTCAGTTCTATAACCAAGAATCCAACTACAGTGTCTATTCCCTGACTGAACAGAGGCTCAGAAATTAGGTGTTTGTAATATTTTTTATATAAACCATTTACATGATCATATCTGTAGAACTGTAGTAGCAAACATGGTTTATTACTGAAATAAGAGCAATGTATGTAACTTTGACCTTGCTTCCTGCCCCCCAAAATAAGGGGAAAAAACCTGTTTTATGACTTTCAGTCTGTGCTGGGTGGGCCATTGTCAACTTGACATTATCATCTTTTGTCTTTTCTAATAGTAAGTGCCATGATTCCTAGAATCTACTTCTTTGCACATTTTTGAGAGTTTATCACTGTGGAGAACGGTAATGAGATGGGGAAGCTCTGCAAAGCAGAAACTCTTATTCCTAGAGATCAGGATGTTGAAATGGGGAAAAATTCAATATTCTTCACTAATTTCTGTTTTACCCTCATGGTGGTTCACAGACTTCAGTTATGATACACGCATTTTTTATAATCTCCAGCTTTTTTTTTGTTTCAGATGATATCAGGGTGATCTCTGAAACTGAAGCCATAAATTTTCAGATATTTACTCCACCAGCTTTACACCATGGTAAACAAAATTCCTACAATGAGCAAAACATTCATAGAATACTTGAAGTCTTATTTTCTTGGCCAGAGACTAATAAACAATCCAACCAAATTAACAACAAAACCTCCAGACAAAAAGTAAGAAAAAATACTGCTGAGATTGTATCACAGTGCTCATGCAATATGCCAATATGCAGCGTAATTTTGAGTTTATGTTTATGAGTAAGAATATTTTGCTTAATCTGTACAAATAACATATTTCACATCTCATTCTCATCAATAAACTAAATTCACTATTTTCAACTTGGAAAATGAAGCTATATTTGGTAGTTTATTTTTTGATATATATTTTTACATTTAAAGATAACCCCTTTTCATGTGAGCAACATCAATGTAAATACACTGTTAACATTCCTTAACATTACAGATACCTTCCAAATGAAAACATTCACTTTAACCCAACTTAACATTTAAAACAAGAAAACAAAATTTCAATTAACTACCTATTCTCACAGTTGATTATGATTTTACAGTATAATACTAAATTTTAAGACATTCTGTGCTCATGAATGTGCTGAGGATGCATTTGATAACTATATTTTCATAAATAGTTATATTTTTATTTATAAGTGTATAAAATTAATAATTTCTTTTTTCTTCTGTGTATACCCTTTCAAAAGTTAACACCATATCCTTTGGATATTCCACAATCTCAGGAATCACTTTGATCAGTAGAATTTCATTCAGTACAATTTCAAAACCAGTTTCAGTTCTTGCTTAAATCACAAAGTGTAAAAGTTTTTATGAGTAATCAAGAGTCTATATCTAATGTTAATTTGGAAATCAAAAGGTAGTTATTGATCTTTAAGTGCCACTTCTTGGTATAAGTAGGCTTTTGAAATCTCAGAACTCAAAGTTAACAAATAGGTATTTTGTTTAACCTTGTCTAGAATATCTAACTTGTTTACATGTATTTTGACTTTTGTTATCTCATCATTTAATAAGCAATAATAAAATCTATCAATTTCTAATCTTTATGTCTTAGGATTCTTTTGGCAGTATAACTTGAATAATTGGGATAGATCCCAGAGTGTATAGACACACACACAAATTAATGAACCAATGGATTAATGTGTGCAGTGGATGACTGTTTTGCTTTACAGTTCTCCATCCATGTTCCATTGCATCATTGCTGGTGGAGATGATACTGCAAAAACCATATTGTATTTTGGGAAATGTACTTCATACCAAACTTTGTTGTTCAGTGAGTCCAAGAAAACCAAGCCAAAGAACTACCCAATGCATGGAAACTGGCAGCCCAGTGCATATGCTGTCATTTCCTATCACATTCTGTTCAACAATGAAAATAGTTTCAACTTACATCTTGGCAAAGCTCACCTATTAAAATATACCTTTTTTAAAAACATTAAATTGGGTTGATTTTATTTTCTGTTATTTCCAGAAAGATTTGGCCTTTACACCTAGCTTGCTTATACAGTGAACTGATGAATAAATTGATTCTGATGAAAATTGCAGTTCAGAAATTATATTCAGTAGTCTATCTGAATTTGCTTTGGGTTGTCACCTGCACTTTAAGTAAAGGAGACAGAAAGAAATTTCAATTAACTTTATAAATATTATCATACTTTGAACTGAACATTTTAAGGCCTAATTAAATGTTATGTTTAGTTTTTATTGCAATAGAGGTATTAATAAAATACAATACAATAACCATTAGATCATATATACTTAGTTTTCATCCACTTTAACCTGCAAGCCAATGAATTTAATAATTATAAACTTTGATATTTATAGAACTATATTTTAAAGCTGTGATTTAAAGATGAGGTTAATCTCTTGATTAGGTCTTTCTATTAAATGGGAACAAGATAGTACACATTTTATACAAATTGAGGAAACATTTTGAAATCAGAATTAAAAACCAATTTATACTTGTCTAATTGCTATGTTTTAGGAAGACTTTTGATAGCACATGGTAAAAATCATGGGCCTTTTTTTTTTTCTTTTATAATTTACAAAACACTTCAACATACTGTATCTGTCTTATGTCAGTCTCACCACAATTCCATGAAAAAAAGCAATAGAACATTGTTCAGCCACATTCTCCCAAGAAGGAAAGTGGCAATAAAATTAAGCAAGTCAATCATGAGCACTCTCATCATGTCCCAGCAACTCAGGTTCCCTTAGGATGGCCAGTTCCAGTGCAGCACTGAAGACTCACCCACAGATTCCAGTGCATTCTAGAGTGCTCCTGATGCTACAGCTGAAAAGACCAAAAATCTGTTTATAAATAAAGTATTTTGAATTGCTTCTAAGGAAATCATTACAGGAATTTAAAGGAAATATCAATGAATGTTTTATTATGAAATGAGAATTTGCATATACTTCTTCTCTTGCATATATAATTACCAATGTATAGAAAATTTAATTTACGTTATAACATGGGCTTCTCATCTTGGCCTTTACTACCTCAAGACTGCTCTTAAAGTGAAGTCTTTTACTTTTGAATCAAAGTTTGAGTGTCTGGGATTAAACTCCATGGAAATTCAGAGACAGATGGAGTTCTGGTCGTGCAGTTGGAAAATCCAATTTAGAGTTTATTTAATCCACTTTGATTTGGATTTTAAAACTTAGGTAATGATCTCTTTTTCTCTTTAGGGAGTTGAAAACTGAGATCTGCAGGTAGTTATTTTTTTCCTGAAGGCTGGGGGAATGAATGACTGAGTGTACACAAGATGTTTTTCCCAAAATAAGGTAAAATTTTCAACAAGTTTATAAATCATACCTAAGTATTCTTGCAATGACAATATGTAATGATTTATGACCAATGTCTACTTTAATAAGCAGGAAAAATGTATAGAAAAAATGCTTTTCCCTCTTCACCCTAAAGAATGCACCAATAAAAGTGTCAGGAAGAGACCCCTTTCTTCTCTCAACTTTGCCTAATTCAATATGAATGCAGTTATTTAGCCAAACTGTCAAATAAGATCTTCCTGGAACTTAATTATCTATATTTTGTAAACTCAAAGGAAAGTAGCAATGAGAGACCAATGTCTGTCTACATGGAATTAACAAATAAAATTGGTAGCCCTAATTGGTCCTGGAACACTGCCACAGTTATGGTTTTCACTGTCCTATTATTTCTGCATTAACACCCTTCTTTTGAATCCAAGAAATATATGTACATGTGTGAGCACACACACACACACACACACACACACACACACACACACACACCCCAGAGGATTTTTGCAGCAGGGACCACTCATTCTTGTATCTCTTACTGTGCTGCATATGGCTTAGCACACAATAGGCCTTCATTAAATACCTTCATTAAGGCTCCTAAATGAGTAAAATCAAGAGTAGGATCCATGTGTTTATGATCTAAATCTGGAGCACTTCCTCCACGCCATCATACTGACTTGGTTGATCCTAAAATCCTGTTTCTTGGTTGCTGAATGTCTGTTCTGCTGGCCAGTTCTATAGGATTCTGTCTCGGTTTGAACTTTCATTTAATCTGAATGGCACAGATCATAGCCTTCATTCACTTCAACTGGAAAGTTTGGTTTAAAGTGGTTTCATCCATTTATTCATTTATCCAACACACACTTCAGTGCCTATGAAGCTTATGTGAGGCAGGAGCAGGTGTCTCAGTGGCACTTTCTGTTCCAGTTTCATTTTGCTGCTCCACATATACTCATAAGATTTAGAGAACTAGAAAATGGGCAATTCCAGACCGGCAAGTTTGGCACTTCATCTCTTTTTAACCATAATTACTTTTTTTCAAGATTAGTAGTGTAGTATAACAATGGTGTAAATACAAACTGTATTTTTCTCATGTGCTGCATTTACTCATGTGTCTCAATTTATTACTAAAACCTAACTCCTGTAATAATAGAGGACATGATTACTAATTTATACAGTGGTAACTAATGGTATCATAATTTGTAATGTTACCATAAATGAGAATAAACAGTTGCTAATTTCAATTTTAAAGTAAAATTATCTAATCAAATTTCCTTGGTGATTTTGGTAAAATTATCAGATTCTTTATTCCAGGGAACACCCCTCACTATGCATTTTAAGTGACCAGGTATGTAATTGACATGATTTTTTGCCAATATGTCATTAGAACCTAATCCAAAGAAAATCCAGATCATAAGCTTCTCATTCCAGGGAGCTGAAAAAGTTTAAAGGAAATACTAAAAGGTAAAAAGCAATACATGATTCATAACATGAAAAATTAATAGCCAGTGCCAATTTTCTAGCAGAAACAAGGAGAAAATAATTGGTAGACATATGGCTTGGAGACATACGGCGCATCATTTTTGACTAGACAAGCTAGAAAAGAAGAATTGCTTCAGCTCTCAGCTCTCAGGATATTTTTCCTTCAATGAAATATATATGTATGGCAATATTTAAATTTTGTATCTTCATAACTACATATGGAAAACACTTTTGCCTGGCAGCTTTTAGTCACTATTACTTCATAGTCTATTAATTTCAAATATGGGTATTTTATACTGAACCTAGAAAAATACAAGAGCAACTTAGACTTTTTCTGTGGGTAACAGGCTGCAAGCCAGCTGGTTTCTGAGGCCTTATTTGAAGGTCTTCTGAAAAGCAGAGGAGAGATGTCTATACAGGTTACGAAGAGTACTGCTTTTCCATCTGGCATTATCTACAAATAATATATGTTTACAGGTGTAAAGTGATTAAGTTTTCCTTAATATCTCCTTAATACTTCCTTAACATACCTCAGGTTATATTCACACTTAACACTAGCCTAGAAATAAATTTAACCCTATTCTTATTGTAGAAACAATGCTTTTCCCAAAGATCCACATGTTATGAAGATAGTAAACTAACCATTCCCACTGTGGTAGTGGTAATTATCATCAAATAAAAATAGCTTTGATCCTATACTCAAACTCTCCAAATGTTAAGAATGTTTGTCTTTCTCTATACTAACAAGATAGAACTACCGGAAAGGGATAGAACTATGAGAAGAAACTCATAATGAGCTTTTTGAGAGTAGCAATTTTATTACAGTCAAGCTGCTCTAGGAATTGAAATGGGGTTATCTCTTATTGACCCCTGCCAGCCTAAATGCATTGATATGTCTGCTTTTCTGCAGTTCTTCCCCCAGAATGCCTTATTTGAATCATCCCTGCTTGTCTATGGTCCACCTGGACTTGAAAGGTCCGTCCTTGCAGTGAAAATATAACATTTCTGAGAGATGATTTTCTTTCTTTCAAGTAACACCCTTACAAACATTCTTTCAATTCTCTGACCATCTACAATTTTTCCAGTTTATTAAGATTTAACTGACAAACAGAATCATATATTTTATGGTATAGAATGTAATCCTTTGATATATACATATATATTACATATAAAATATATAATTAAATCAAGCTATGGCAATTTTATATATCACATCACTTAATTTTTATTTTTGTAAAAGCACTTAAGATCTACTGTCTTAGTTATTTCAAGTAAAATATAGTATATTATTAGCTATAGTCAAACTGACTGTAGAACTTATTCTTTTTATCAAAGTGAAACATGGTACCCTTGAACTAACATCTGCTCATTCCTACACCTTCCAAACTCTGCTTCTGCTATCATTCTATTTTTTTTCTACTAGTTTGCTTTTTTAGCTAGTGTATATAATTGAATTACACAGCATTTGTATTTTTATGCCAGCTTATTTCACATAGCATAATATTCTCCATACTCATCCATATTGTTTCAAATGATGAGATTTCTCATATATATATCCCACATTTTCCATATGAATGCATCCACTGATAAACACTTAGGTTCAGTCCATATATTAGCTATTTTAGTTGAGTCTTCTGAATAATATGCCAATCAAATAAAGTTGCAGATATAAATATATCTTTTATTTTGTATATCGTCTTTACTGACTTCTGTTTCACTAACGGTATTTTAAATTCTACCTATTTCTCTGGTCACAGCTCAGAAGACCAGAATGTTGTATAAAGTCCAGAGAATAAAATCCAGGCTGAGAAGATTTCCGTTATGAACAAGGATTCTGTTGACAATTAGACTTGAGACCATATGTGTTATCCTCTGGCAGAAAAATTGTGTACATTTTTCTCATGTTCTGAGGCTTAACCTCATGACTGAGGTTAAGGGCAGTGAACTAATTAATCTGGTAGAGGAAATATCAAAGAAGCCCAACATTCAGGGTGAGTACTTTTGTTCTATACTGAAAATCAGGAGCAAAATGTCCATCTGTCAATTAAATATCAATCAGAAGCAAAAAGCCCACTTGGAGTTTCATCAGAAAGAGCCTTCAGATTTAGGGGAAAGGAAAGCATGGTTTTTGCAAAGATTAGCCTTTTTAAAAGCCAAATACTTTACATCTGAGCAATCGGAAAAATGCCTTGAGAGCATTTTAAGAATTGGCAAGATTCCTACCAGTTGCAGACTTAAAGGTACAACACTGAAAGACGACTTTGAGGGGAGAGCACAGGGAGGTCTACGTATTCAGAACGAACTAAAAAAGAGTTTCCCAGAGTTCATCTATCCAGGCACTCAGAGGCCTCAACAGCTATAATACAAGAGAGCAAAGCTACTACTTGAGCTCACATCAGACCTCAGCATCATCTACCTGGTGAAAGTTTCATAAGCATGCAGAGTGTAAGAGTTATAGAGTCATGGAGTCTTCTACCCTGACTTCAGAAGAAGGCATGTAAGACTAGCCAATATAAGACTGTAGCTGAAGGTATAGTGGAGACTACAGGGAGTTGGAGATGCCAGGAAGGTACATCACCTAGTAACAAAATTTGCAGGAAGGGAGCAAATTCAACCCAAAGGAGAAGTCATAAGGGCTGCAACCAGCAATGGCATAGGGATGGGGCTGCCCACACCCTTTGAAACTCACATCTTACCACAACTTGCCCTGAGTGCTGGACATGGAGCTACCAGATTTAATGTTTGCCCTGCAAGGTTTCAGTCTTGCTTTTTATCCCTCTATTTCTCCCTTTTGAAATAAGAATGCTTAACCTATTCCTCTGTATGTTGGAAGAACTTAACTTTCTTTTTTAATTTTGTAAGTGTTCTCAGCTAAGAGTTTGCCATGTGTCTCAGAGAAGATGAAAAAATGACTAAGACACTTTCTTAATTCTAAAGTTTATAAAGCCCTTACATCTTTTAAATTTTTTTGTATTAACATATATTAATTGTATGTATTAATGGGATTTTGTGTGATGTTTCAACATGTGCATGCAGTGTGTAGTGAAGAAATCAGGTTAATTAGTGTTTTCCTCTCTTTATCATTTCTATCTATCTATGTTTTGAGACTTCAAGGTTCTCTCTTCTAGTTTCATAAACTACAGAACCATTTGCATATACCATTTCAAATAATCTTCATGATAACCTTTGTGTCGGAAGTGGTTTTATTCTTCTTTTACTGATAAGGAAAAACCCATGCCTGGGAAAACTACTTTGGATAAGTTCAAAACTTAAATACTATATTTCAAAGACAAGTCTGAACTAAGTATCTTAACCCTAAATCTAGTGATTGTTCCAATATAACATATTAAGTCCCGTAAGACCTCTGTCTCTGTTTGCTATCCATGAATGTGAATGCTACTTCCTGTTTATTTAGCATAAGCACCTTATAATTCCTTTAAGAATAGAAAAATATCTTACCTGAACTGTCATGGTCTTAAAGGCAACTGATTTTATTCTCTTAGTTCACAAGGGACCAACATATCAGTACAGTGGTTTTTTGGCATATTTCACTTCTTCTTATGTAAGTGCCCCTGGTCTCACCCATCATCCTTTTTAAAAACTGGCATTTGTGAATCACAGATGATCTAAAACTTCTGTGCAAGAATGATCATCTGTTTCTTTCACCTGTACACATTGCTCGTTTTGTAGCCAAACCACTTTGCCAGAAGCTGTATGTAATTGTGAAATGTCAAGCACACTTGTGCCCTATTTGTAGAATTATTAGATGTGCAAATGTACACAAAAAATGAGCAAAAATAGAACTTAAAACTCTATAAATTACCAGAACCACATGAAGAAATTTATGGTGGGTTCTTCAGAAATTTTTACAAGTAAAAACACATTTTGTATTAGTTATTGAAAATCTATTTTAAGTAATAATCTTGTTTCTCAATAATAATTTGATTTAGAGAAATAAACCTATAATGCTACATTCATAGATTTTTCTTCTAACAAAAATGACTCTGAAAATACTATTTGACTTATTAATAATTTGTTCCTCTTACTGTCTTGACAGGTATCCTCTAATATTTGTGGATCTATTTATACTCCTCTTTCTTTATATGCCAACTCAGTTTTAATCATCTGAGTAGTGACTAATATTTTATATTATCTGCATGGGTGCATATATGAGGTAAAAATTATTATTCAGGAAATGCAAAGAGTGACTACAATTTTCTTTTATTACTATAATAATAGATGTATATTGTGGTATGAAAAGAATAACACAGAATGTTAATATTTTATGAATGCTGATTAAAATGTTAATGACTGAATTTCTTTCACTTAGATAGCTATGGTCTTTTAACTCCTTTCAGGACTTACTATCCTAGATGACAACTCCATTAGCATTTGGCTCATGAGCTTCTGTAATTTTTGTGCAACTCTTATATATAGGTTTTTAATTTATTTCTCTATTTATATACACCAAACTTAAAATAGTATGCAATGAAATAATTCAAATAGAAGATCATTAAATACAGTAATAATTTCTTACATTTATGCACCGTGATATTTTTCTAAAAAATCCTCTTTCCACCACAGGTATTTGTATTCAGAGATTTTGAACACTCTAAAAGTCTTTAGCTTCAAGCCCATTTGTCTTCACCCAATTAACCTCATATCCTGTGAAAGTAGTGGTACTCTTTAAGTTTACTAATAAGAATAAATGCAAAACACTTTCTAAAAATGTGTGGCATTTCAAATTGAACTAAAAATAAACTTTCTGTAATCTAATCAAACAGAGTTGGCTAACTAAATGCCAAATAGTTACCAATTTATCCATGTATCGCTTGGCCAGGATTCTAGGACTTGTTCTCCTCTGCTACAGCTGGGATCACTGGAAGCACATTATTTGCTCAGTATTGTTTCTTTACTTGAGATTACTCAGAACTAAAACAAAATGTGTTTGATTGCCTGTAGCCCTGGCTTCTGCTAATCAAATTTCTATGATTTGTGCCCACTGTAAAAGAAAACCTGACCCAGAGAATAGGAAAATTATAATGGTAAAGACGGAAAAACAGATTTTTATTCAGGAATTATTTTACAGTGGAAAAGGGACTTTTATATAGAACTGGATCATAAGTAGAGGTATGTGGAGATAAATGGAGGTTTATAGCCAAGGAACATATGGGAAAAGTGGGAGCTTGGAAGATAAATTACTAAGAGAAGACATCAGGTATAAAGAGGATTCTGACTAAATTGCTTAAAAGAATTCTTCTGAAGTCAGATCAGGATGGTCAGATAACAAAAGGATTAGAAATTTGACCATATAGCAAGTTTATGAGATTCCCATTAAACCAACTTTGCAAACTCTTGATAAAACTAAGTTATCCAAAGAGGAACACAGAAAACCAAAAGTAGAGGTCTAGTGAAGAAAACAGTTTGGCCATGGAGAAAGTCTTTGTCACTACTCAGTAGGACAACTTTGCCTTGTAATTTTTAGGACAACTTTGCCTTGTAATTTCTTCCAATGGAGCTCCTGGCCTATGATGAAACCTCAGAGACTTGGCCACTTACTAACAGAAACTCATTCCAAATGTATCCCTAGGTTGCTTTCCTGAAAACTGGGCTTTGAGAGGTGTTAAAGCAAAATAAAAGAGAGATAATTGGAAACATGGAGGTAGATTTTGTGGAAATGGGAAGGGAATCTGGGGAAGAAGAAAGAGAGGAAGACAATGGAAGAGGGAAGTAAAAATAATCAAAACGTGTTGTGTATGTACCAGTTCTACAACACGAATATAATTATTATGTACTGCAAACATATACTAACAATAAGAAAAATGTTAAAAGGAAGGTTTTAAAGAATATAATTCTAGGAAGCACCAGTAGCATGATGGGGAAGTGAAGGATGTAGAAAAAAGAATAAATTGTACCATGTCAGAAAGAGTACCACATTGGGAGCTGAAGCTTCGTCCTAGTGGGAGCCTGTAGAGTCTGCAGCTAGAGAGCTAGTTTATTAACACATTAACTCTGATCAAGCACTGGCTGAGGGTAGCCCCTATGGAATGGTCAATTTGAGGCATCTCAGTCCTGCACTGTAGGTCAATGGGAAGAGTTCTAGTAGCCAGAGAAAACACTCAGATAAAGATGAGCTACTGCTTTGAATAAAAAGCCATGAGCTTAACTAAAAAAATGATGTGTTCCCGGAGAATATGATGGGCTACTGACAGTCTGAGATATTTATGAATTGTTGTTTCCCTTTTCCATAGTTGGTCTTTGATTCACCTGCTTGCATTGGGAACTTGATATTTCTTCTTCAGAAATTAATGGCAACTGTCAGCCTGGTTTGTAGAAGGAAGTTGAGGCTTTCTTACTTTTTAAAACAGGTTTATTGAAGTGAATTTTACACACGAATTCATTTTTATTTTAATATTTGACAATCCCTGATAACCATTAACCACAAAACAATAAACATACAGAATATTCCCATCACCCCCAAAATCATGCTTCTTTGTATTCAATCACTTTTCCCTACACCCAGGTTCCAGAAACGATTGATCTGCTTTCAGTCACTATAGTGAATCACAGTATGTAGTCTATGGAGTCTGGCTTTTTGTGCTTAGCCTAATAATTTCAAGAATTATTCATGTTATTCAAAATACTAGTAGTCTGTTCCTTTTTTTACTTCTGAAGAGTATCTCATCATATGTATGACAGTTAACCTTAATTGTCGACTTAACTGGATTTAGAGACTCCTGGAGATGTTATTGGATATTGCCAAGAGGCTATAGTTAGCAGTGGATTAATTAATCACTGATGTTCATAGATAAATGTGCAGTTAGAAGGTAGGTCACTGGGGGTGTGTTTTCAACACAAGAATCTTTGGGCAACTTTCAAGATACAAACTACATTATATACCTGGGCCCCAAAGGCTCATGCCCATCTCATAATGCAAAATATGTTCAGCCCATCTCCAACAGTTACAACACTGCCCAAAAGTCCAACTCAA